CTCGTGCATACAGATCTTTGTGGTCCAATGAATGTCAAAGCACGAGGAGGGTATGAATATTTCATCAGTTTTATTGATGATTATTCAAGGTATGGCTATCTTTACCTAATGCATCACAAGTCCGAAGCTCTTGAAAAATTCAGAGAGTATAAGACTGAGGTTCAGAATCTATTAGGTAAAACTATTAAAACACTTCGATCAGATCGAGGAGGAGAGTACATGGATTTAAGATTTCAGGACTATATGATAGAACATGGAATAAGGTCTCAACTCTCAGCCCCTGGTATGCCTCAACAAAATGGTGTATCAGAAAGAAGAAATAGAACTCTATTAGACATGGTTCGGTCTATGATGAGTTTCGCTCAATTACCCGATCCATTTTGGGGATATGCAGTGGAGACTGCTACATACATTTTGAACATGGTTCCTACTAAGAGTGTTTTAGAAACACCTTATGAGTTATGGAAAGGGCGTAAAGGTAGTTTACGTCACTTCAGAATTTAGGGATGTCCAGCACATGTGTTGTTGCAAAATCCCAAGAAATTAGAACGTCGTTCAAAATTATGTCTATTCGTAGGATACCCCAAAGAGACGAAAGGTGGTTTGTTTTATGATCCTCAAGAAAATAGAGTGTTTGTATCAACGAACGCTACATTCTTAGAGGAAGACCACGTAAGAAATCATCAACCTCGTAGCAAACTAGTATTAAGTGAGATTTCTAAAGAAGCTACTGATAAAACAACAAGAGTTGTTGATCAAGCTGGTCCTTCAACCAGAGTTGTTGATGGAGCTGACACTTCTGGTTAATCACATCCTTCTCAAGAGTTGAGAATGCCTCGACGTAGTGGGAGGGTTATAACTCAACCCGATCGTTACTTGGGTTTGGCAGAAACTCAAGTCATCATACCTGATGATGGCGTTGAGGATCCATTGACCTATAAACAGGCAATGAATGATGAGGATAGAGATCAGTGGATTAAAGCCATGAATCTTGAAATGGAGTCAATGTACTTCAATTCAGTCTGGGAACTTGTAGATCAACCGAATGGGGTAAAACCTATTGGTTGCAAATGGATCTATAAGAGGAAACGAGACCAAACCGGTAAGGTACAGACCTTTAAAGCACGACTAGTAGCAAAGGGTTATACCCAAAGAGAGGGGGTGGACTATGAAGAAACCTTCTCTCCTGTTACTATGCTTAAATCAATAAGAATACTCTTGTCTATTGCCACATTTTATGATTATGAAATTTGGCAAATGGATGTTAAGACAGCTTTTCTAAACGGCAATCTTGAAGAGAGTATCTATATGGCTCAACCAGAGGGGTTCATTGAACAGGATCACGAGCAAAGGGTTTGCAAGCTTAAAAGATCCATTTATGGGTTGAAGCAAGCATCTCGATCCTGGAATATAAAGTTTGATACTGCGATCAAATCTTATGGCTTTAAACAGAATGTTGACGAACCTTGTGTTTATAAAAGGATAGTCAACTCTACAGTAGCTTTCCTGGTGTTGTACGTTGACGATATCCTACTCATTGGAAATGATGTGAGAATTCTGACTGACATTAAGCATTGGCTGGCGACACAATTCCAAATGAAAGATTTGGGAGAGGCTCAGTTTGTTCTTGGAATCCAAATTATTCGGAATCGCAAGAACAAAACACTAGCATTGTCTCAAGCATCGTACATCGACAAAATGTTGATTCGATATAAGATGCAGGACTCCAAGAAAGGATTATTACCTTTCAGGCATGGAGTTCATTTGTCGAAGGAACAAAGTCCTAAGACACCTCAAGAAGTTGAGGATATGAAACACATTCCCTATGCATCAGCGGTCGGTAGTCTGATGTATGCCATGCTTTGTACCCGACCTGACATATGCTATGCTGTGGGAATTGTCAGCAGATATCAGTCCAATCCGGGACGTGCTCATTGGACTGCCGTTAAGAATATCCTCAAGTATCTTAGGAGAACGAGGGACTATATGCTAATGTACGGTGCTAAGGATCTGATCCTTATAGGGTACACTGACTCAGATTTTCAGACCGATGTAGATTCGAGGAAATCGACATCAGAATCTGTCTTCACTCTGAACGGAGGAGCAATAATATGGAGAAGCATAAAGCAAGGTTGCATTGCTGATTCCACCATGGAGGCTGAGTATGTTGCTGCTTGTGAAGCAGCGAAAGAATCTGTATGGCTTAGGAAGTTCTTAACTGATTTGGAAGTCGTTCCAAATATGCATCTTCCCGTCACTCTTTATTGTGATAACAGTGGAGCAGTTGCAAATTCAAAAGAACCAAGAAGCCATAAGCGAGGAAAACATATTGAACGCAAATATCATCTCATAAGGGAGATTGTGCAACGAGGAGATGTGATCGTCACACAGATAGCTTCAGAGCACAACATTGCTGATCCATTTACAAAGTCCCTCACGGCTAAAGTGTTTGAAGGGCACCTAGTGAGTCTAGGACTACGAGTTATGTAATTTAGGGCAAGTGGGAGAAAAGGCATCAGTATGTGATGCTCTAGTTTATTGTATTTCTCTCTACTCAACGTTATAAAACCCAACTAGAGTTTTAGTCCAAGTGGGAGTTTGTTGGGTTTTATGTCCTAAAACTCATAGTTTGTAAACAAAGATATATTCTATTTTCAATAAAGTTATTATTGATGTTTATTTAGTAAAAATTGTTATTGAATAAAGTGAACTTTACGATCATTAATCTAAATCCAATAAACTAAGAACACTCTGGCTATAGTATGATTACTTGAACTATATGTAGAGACATAAGAGTGGATCAAGTTCAAGTATATAGTCAAAATGATCTATAGTATAAGGATAAGGCTGAGTACCTTATTCTGGGGACACTATGGATGCGGCCCACTTTTGTATATGATATAAACAATGTGATCACTAAATTGTGCATGTGGAGACATGTGAGTGGGGGCGTCCTATGCAATGAGTATTGCATAAGATCGGATCATGAAGAAAACCACTCTCACTTTATAAAGTCGTTTACTGTTGAGACTGATTTTCTTTTCATTCGATAACCTAGGTAACTCGGTTTTAATCCTGAGCTAACCATGAACTCCTGTTTATTCGGAATTATCCTTAGATTTGCATGGGTGAGAGTGGCTCTAGTTCGCCGACTCAACAGGCCTCCCATTTCAGGGGTAAGACTGGGTGAATGGCTGGGGATGTGGGGTGCAAGACGGAATTCACTCCTACCCACTTAGGGATAGAAGAAAGGTAGTTCCCTTAAGCACTGACTCCAGGTCTTGAACAAGGGGCCCCACCCTCTCATTGGCCTGAGAGGGATTTGGTTTACTGGTTGGACCACAAACCAATTGTTCATTAGAGGATCAGTGAGACATAAGGAACAAGAAGTAACTTCAGGGGTAAAACGGTAAATTGACCCAGCTCTAGTTACGAACAACCTGTGAAGGATCGACTTACTAATCATGGTTATATCAGATGGACAGAAATATATCTATAGTGAGGGGAGTGCAACTACTAGGCTATAGTGGAGTGTCCTAGTAGTTAACGAATGTTGGTTAACAAGGCTAATGAGTTTAATCGGTTAATCTTGGATCATTGGAGCCCATGATCTATAGGTCCATTAGGTCCCTCTGCTAGCTCATATCGGACTAAACCATAGAACAATGTGACGAGTGAGTTCGAAGTGTTCGAATTCAAATTAGGGAATATGCGTTACATATATACGATATATTTAACCGCAATTTTGTTTTATTTACGAATTAAACGAAAAGAGAGAATGTGAGATATTTAAATAAGATTTAAATATCTTAATCAATTATGTGTCGGAATTGATTGGGATTGGCATTTGAATTAATATTAAATATTAATTAAATAGTTTAATTAATCATTTAATGTTACTTTAATTTGAAATTCATTATTCAAATTAATTGTTGAATTAAAATGAAGAAAGTCAAAATGTTCTTTCATCTAATGGAAAAATCCATGTTAGTGGAATTTTGAGGTGTCAAAATTTGGTTTAACCAAACTTGCATGTTTGCCAAATAAACCCCACAAGTTTGAGTGGAATTTTGAGTGTCAAAATTTGGTTAACTCAAACATGCATGCTTGCCACATAATCCCAAACTCTTGAGTGGAATTTTAAGTGTCAAAATTTGGTGATCTCAAGTTTGCATGAACATGCAAACTTGACTCTTTAAATGGAGTGATCATGATACTTGGAGGGGATTCTTAATCTTGATGAAAAGCCTTGAGAAAAACTTCTCACAAACACTCTCTTTCACATATACAAAATCCCTCCCAAGTTTAGTCACTCACCGGATTCCACAATCCCGTTCTAAGGCCGGAGGATAGTGGAGAAGACACTAGTGGTGGTTCGAAACCGGTTCGTGAGGCAAAAGGAGTTTGAACTACAAAAGGTTAGTACTTAAACTCATTAAGTTTTAATACTTATGAACATGCTAGTGATTTACAATAATTGATGTTCTAAAAGTGCCTAAGATCCAAATTGCTTCCGCATGTGTTATATTAACACCATCAGCTACCACATCAGATAATCAAACTAGCATGCATGCATTCCAAGCGACTCCTACAAGTATTTCTCCCTAAAGTTCCGTGTGGTGACTTACCTGGATGATGCGTGCCCTTACGCAACGTTTCCACAAATTAGCATATCGAAAAGTACTGATGTTTCCTCAATTAGATCCTATTTCATATAAAATAGAGTTAGGATTGGAATCGGGAGGAAAATAGGGAAACCAGAAGTCGAACGAGATGAAAACGGGCTTACACACGCATCCACGCGCTGGGTCAGAATCGCTTTCTGGTTCCACGCACAAGTGTCACGCGCCCAAGGTTTTCTGCAGTCGCGGGTCGTCGGTTCGGTTCGGGTGGACTGCGGTTCGTTTCGCCACGCGGGTATCGGGTCGGGTTGCGTGGCCGAGGAGCGTGTCGCTGGAAGGCTGGAGTTGCAGGCGGCGTTCAACGCGTGTCCAGAGGTTGTTGGTGCACGCAGTCCTCTAGCCGGTTGACACGTGGCACGCCGTCGGCTTCTCTCTCCTCCTAGAAGAAAACAAGGTTTCCAATTAGTTTTCCGACGTTCTTCTCATTTTTCTATCTCTCAATTCTTAATCCAAACCGTAATGACTTCTTCAACAAAGTTTTAGATCATACTTCAACCTACGTGCCAATATTTTTATCTTGATTTTTACTTAATCATACTAAGAGTTATGAGCCTCGGAAAGAGGTCTGATAATATCCTTACCTTTCTTGGAAAGATTCTCAGATCTCGACGTTTCGTCCGATTTCCTCACAAAATCAGTGGCGGATCTTCCCTAGGTGAAGATAGTAAACTTTAACACTCCATTCCCAAACGAAGATTTCAGATTTGAAGAGTAACGTTCGAGATCTTACCTTGCGGATTTCTCTCGGATCTTGACGAAAGAAGGAACCTCAACAACACGAGTCTTTCTTCTCTCCAACAAGAAACTCTAGAGTGTAAGTCTCAGCAGAGGATGAATTTCGTTGGTGATTCTCCAACGAGGACTCCGACGATTCACTTTTCTCTCTCAAGCTTTCTCTCAACCTTCTTTCTCACACTTTTCTCTTTTGCAGGTATTCTATGGAGAATACTCAAGACCCCTATAATGGGCTGAGGGGGTAAAATGCCCATTTTGCCCCTTTGACTTTGACCCACTTTTTTTTTAGCATTACAAACTCTCCCCAACTTAGAAACTTTCATCCTCGAAAGTTGGTATCTCTTGGAAGAGTTCGGGATAGGCTCTTCTGGCATCATCTTCTTGTTCCTAGGTTGCCTTCTTGTTTCGATGGTTACCCCATGCGACTTTCACCATGGGAATAATTTTGTTGTGTAGTCGCCTAGTGTCTCGAACCAGAATTCTACTAGGTCTTTCCTCGTAGGACAGATCTTCCCGAAGAGGAAGGGTTTTGTGTTCAATCACATGAGTAGGATCTGAGGTGTACTTTCACAGCATAGACACGTGGAACACGTTGTGAACGGCAGCAAGGTTTGGTGTTAGAGCAACCCTATAAGCCACGACCCCAACTCTCTCTAAAATCTCGAAAGGACCTATAAACCTTGGGCTTAACTTTCCCTTCTTTCCAAACCTCATCACCCCCCTCATGAGAGCTACCTTCAAAAATACATGGTCACCCACCTCGAACTCGAGGTCCCTTCTACGCAAATCTGCATAGCTCTTCTGTCGACTCTGTGCAGTGAGGATTCTTTGCTTAATTTTCTACACTGCTACGTTGGTGACTTGAACCAACTCTAGTCCCAGTAGTTGCTGCTGCGTGCCTACTTCTTCCCAAAATATCGGTGTTTGATACCTACGCTCATACAGTGCCTCGAAAGGGGCCATCTGGATAGTCGCTTGATAACTATTATTGTAAGCAAACTTTATCAGAGGTAGATGTTCGTCCCAGCACCTAGCGAAATCCATGACACAGGCTCGCAACATATCTTCTAAGATTTGGTTCAGTCTTTTGGTCCGTCGGTTCATCTAAGGATGTAATGTTGTATTAAACCTTAGCTGAGTCTCCAATGCTTTTTGGAGGTTTTTCCAAAACTGAGAGGTGAACCTAGTGTCTCGATCAGATACTATGGGCACCGGTACACCATGCAGGCATACTATTTCTCTGATATACAGCTGAGCCCACCGATCCACACAATAAGTGGGTTTGCCTGGGATGAAGTAAGCCATTTTGGTAAGTCTATCAACTACCCAGATTACGTTGAAGCTCTGCTTGGTCTTGGGCAAGCCTGAGATAAAATCCATACAAACTACTTCCCATTTTCACTGAGGGACCTTTAAGGGTTGTAGCAATCCTGCTGGGCGCTGTCTCGGGGCCTTCACCTGCTGATAGGTCAAGCATCGGCTTACGAAATCTGCTATATCCTTCTTTATCCCTAACCACTAATAACATCCCTTAAGATCCTGATACATCTTTTTACTTCTATGGTGGAGCGTGTAAGAAGTATTATGAGCTTCCGTCATAATATCCTTCAGCATTTTCTTCTCATGGGGAACACACAGGCAGTTTTTCTACAGCAGGCCCTCGTCTGAAGAGATAGAGTACCCTTCTGGTCTTTCTGTTTCTGTCTGATTCCACACTTTCCCAAGGTGTTCATCAGACCTCTGAACGTCAATAATTCGTTTATGTTATCTGAGCAGTACCACCTCTAATTACCACATCGATTCCAGCCCTCTTCATCTCATCCTGTATTCTTTCCTGCTTGGTGATCATCGCGGAAGTACGAATAGCCTTTCTGCTCAATGCGTTTGCCACGACATTGGCCTTGCCTGGATGGTACAGGATCTCGATGTCATAATTCTTTACTAGTTCCAACCATCTCCTCTGTCTCATGTTAAGCTCATTCTATGTAAATAGGTACTTGAGGCTCTTGTGATCAGTGAATACTTGGATTTTCTCTCCATACAAATAATGTCATCATGTTTTCAGTGCAAACACCACTCCTTCTAACTCGAGGTCATAAGTGGGATAATTTCGTTCATAATTCTCCAGTTGTTTAGAAGCGTAAACTATCACCTTACCCTTCTGCATGAGCACGCACCTTAGACCTTTTACTGATGCGTCGTTGTACACCACTAGATTCCCAGATCCATCTGGAATTGTGAGGACTGGTGCTGTCACCAACCTTTCCTTGAGTTCTTCGAAGCTCTGTTCACAAGCTGATGTTCATACAAAGGGCTTACCCTTCTTGTTAAGGGAGTTAGCGCCGAATATATTTTGGAGAAATCCTAGACAAATCTTCTGTAATATCCAGCTAGTCCTAGAAAACTCCGTACTTCAGTGACGGTGGTCGGTCTTGGCCACTTCATCACTGCCTCTATCTTAGCTGGGTCCACTGTGATTCCTCTGCTTGACACTACATGACCCAAAAATGCTACCTCATATAGCCAAAACTCACACTTGGAAAACTTGGCGTACAGTCGCTGCGTTCTCAGTACGATCAGAACTTTCCTTAAATGCTCTTTGTGCTCTGCTTTTGACTTAAAATGCACCAGAATGTCATCAATAAACACTATAACAAAAGTGTCTAAGAATTCCTTAAACACCTTGTTCATTAGATCCATGAAGACGACGGGTGCATTGGTAAGTCCAAAGGACATGATGAGAAATTCATAATGTCCATAGCGACTTCTGAAAGATGTTTTGGGTATATCTTCTCCTATTCTCAATTAATGATATTCTAACCTCAAGTCAATTTTGGAGAATACCGTTGCTCCCTACAATTGATCAAACAAGTCGTCGATCCTTGGGAGGGGGTACTTATTCTTTATGGTGACCTTGTTCAGTTCTCTATAGTCTATACACAGACGCAGGGATCCATCCTTATTCTTGACAAATAGAACAGGGGCTCCCTAGGGCGATACACTGGGTCATATGAAACCTTTATCCAATAGCTCCTGTAACTGTTCCTCCAATTCCCTGAGTTCTGTAGGTGCCATTTTGTAGGGTGCCTTGAAGATCGGCGCAGTTCCTGATTCTAGGTCGATCCCGAAGTCAACTCCCCTAACTAGGGTCAAACTTTGCAAATCCTCAGGGAAAACATCAATGAATTTCCTGACAATGTGTACTAACGAGACTGTCTGTTCATTTCTGCTGTCTAGAATCACACTGGCTAAAAATGCGCTTGCACCACTGCGGATCATCTTTCTAGTCTTTAGTGCAGTTACGATGCTTGAGGTTCTTTTTGAAGTGGCTCCCTTATGTAAAACTATCCCCTGACGGGAGTATGAGAGTGCGATTCTCGCCTTCTATGAGGTTCTTTTTGAAGTGATTCCCTTCTATTCGAGTTTCACAATCTATTAGAGTGCGATTCTCGCCTAGCCAATCCATACCCAAAATAACATCGAAGTCTTGCATGCTTAATACTATTAAAGCAGCTTGTATGACACATCCTGACTCTGTCACACTACCTCCCTTAACTCTATGAGTAGCTGTTAATAACTCGTGAGCAAGGGTGGACACTAATAGAATGGTCTCTAAGGGTTCTTTTTCTAGGTGCGCTAAGTCAACGAATTCCACAGACACAAACGAGTGTGTATAACCCGAATCAAATAATACAAAAGCCAAATGACCAAAAACGGGTAGTGTACCTGTAACAACTGTGTCAGGTGCATCGGCTTGCCTGCCTGTGGTTGCATGGGCTACAGCTCGCCCCTACTGCTGTTGGGCACCCCAGCCCCTTTGGTTTTGTATTACAGGTTGATTAGTGTTCTGATCTCTCATATGAGGGCAGTTCGTTGCATAGTGCCCTGTTTGGCCACAACTGAAACATGCATTAGTTTCAGCACGACACTCCCTCTTGTGAGGGCGCTGACATTGAGGGTAATTAGTCCTGTTCTGTGTTGGGGCTCTTCCGCGATTGGCAGTGCCACCACAGGGTGGTCTGCCAATCCTGAGATAGTTCCGGTTTATCTGTTTTCCCTGAACTGCAATATGATATTTTTGGGCTGACCCTCACTGTAATTTGTCAGTACGAGGCGCATCAATGAGGGTCGCCATCTTAAGGGCTGCTGTATAGTCTGTGGATGCCTGTGATGCCACATAACCTCTAATGTTCTCTCTTAGATCGGCGATAAAACGTTCAGCCTTAAGCTCTTCAGTACTGACATATATAAGGGAGAATCTTGCCAATCTATTGAATTCCATATCATAATCCTCCACAGATTGGTCACCCCACTTCAGTTCATGGAATGCTACCTGCAGCTTCATTCTAGCAGCGCCTGGATAGTAGTTGTGGAGGTAGGCCTCTTTGAACTGACACCAAGAAATAGACTCTCCAAGCGGTGCAATCATTTTTTAGCACCCTTCCACAAAAAATGAGCCTCTTCTTTCAACATATAAGTTCCGCAATGAACCTGATATTCCAATAGTGTTAAATAAAAGCCATGCCTTATTTAGTTAGGTTTGTAAAAACATCTGAATTCACGCGAATGGAGGAGCGTGATTCTAGGGGCCATTGTTTTGGCAATTTGGGCGAAGTCTTCGTCCACTTCTTCTATTTTTGTATAATTGGTTTTTCTATTTTTGTAATTAGATTCGTTATTTAAATTCAACTAAAGTAAAATAAAATATCGAGTCTTCAGCAATCTCAGCGAATCTCTCTCTCTCTCTCCTTTTACTTCCGCTAATTTTTCCTTCGAAGAAACCTTCGGCCAATTTTTTCGTCGACACTGTCTTCCGAATTGTCAGAGTCAAGAGATAGTTCATGTAGAAGAAGGTTGTTTCCATAGCCTCGAGCCAATTTTCTGCTGCAATGGGATCTATTTTGCCACCTTCAAAG